GGGAAAGAGAGGGAGGATCCTGCAGAGAAGGCTGAATCCCTCTCTCTGTTCACTCAGGTAGAAGCTGAGGCAACAAGGTTCCTGGCCTCCGAGCCTCCCACGTGGGTGCTGTAAAGGCCACTAGAGTCTTCTCATAGGAGCACAGTGTGAGCTTCTTATCTTTTGTGAAAGAATAATGCACATCTGGCATCTGTCAAGCAGGTTTCTGATTTGATCACATTCATATCTCACTGCTGCCAGACCTTCCATACCCATAAAATGCTAGCGGCCGTGAGGGACAGCTGAAAGCGATACCTTGACGGGACTATCGTTATAAAGCCAGGCAAGGAAAGAGGTAGAATTCCAGTACGACTCCGGAGCTTCCCAGTCTCCATCCGACCAAATCAAATCTGGTTTATATCTAACAGAGAGATGAATGTTATTTCAAAATGGCTCATTTTCTCCTACCACAAAGGAAGCACTATGTTTCTTGCGTCTGGAGTCTAGCTTCACTTCCTCTTCCTATTGCCTGACATTACCAGGAGGTTTATGCTATCACTTTCTGCTTCAGACAAAGGTGTAAGTGAGGTTCTTGCAGCAGCAAAGAATGGCATGTTGATCATTGCGGCTCAAGAGAGGATGCAATTCTTCCAAAAACCAGAAGTTTGTATCTCAAAGGCAATTACGAGGCACGTTCTTGACGTGGGACAACGGCCATTCTGAGCAACATGTGTCCAAGCTTCCTATTTTTGTCAACAAGGGGAAGCAAGGCAAGGATGTAAATTCACAGTGAAATCGCTCTTTTACTCTACTAAATACTAAGCAGTTTGCTCCACTTTCAAAGCCACCCTGCATAAAGGCAGTATGAAAGGGAATTGCTCCTGCATGGAAAATTTGTCCCTACCTTATTCTACAAATTAGACTGTCCACAGGGCAAATGTGAACCCCTTTTCTAATTACCGCAAATCATGACCAATAAATAAACAGATTTGCCTTGGCAAAAATTAACATTTGTCACCTCTCTCCTCTGCATCCACTTTGCATCTTTCTCTACAGTATTGAAACCAGGAAATGCTCCTGATTCCTAACCGGGTGCAGCTCTTACTTTAAGACAAGATCATAAAGTTCTGGCATGGTCTTCTTTAAAACGAAGTCCTGGGTCTTGAAGCCACTTTCTTTGTCAGCTAGATAGAGTGGATTAAACCACTCTAACAGGGAGTGATACAGTCCATAGCGTATGTTGCTGAAGGACAGAAAACACAGAGGAAAGAGTTAGACTGTCAATAGGGATTAAGAACCAGTGGCAGATCAGACTACTGGCATTATTATTGCACAGATTTCATGACTTTGCAAGCACTACTTTTTTCATATTAAACTCACTGTTTTCCACTGTTTGTCAAGAACAGCCAGGAGAATTCAGTGCACACAGATGAAAGGACCAGCGCAGCCTGGCAGTGCCATACCTCTCCCTGAGGGCTTGTCCCAGCTCTCCCACAAGATCTCGGTGTGGCCCCATATCCAGAGAATTCCAGTTCCAGGACACGGGCGACCCCCAGTTGGTGAAGCCTTCATGATGCTTTGTGGTCAGTACCACGTACCTGAGGGAAAAAAAAGTACTCGATCAGGATGTCAAAGGAACTATCTAAGATATTCCCCAGCCTCACTGGCAAACCCAGTCACTAAAAAAGCACGGGACTGAATAACCATGCTGTGAGGAGCCCTCTTTCATTACCCTTTAAATTTAGAAGCAACTACAAGAATAATAGAGGTTTTTAATGGATTTTAATGCTGGGAAAGAATGAAAAAACGAGGCTTAGGAAGGAGCAAGAGCCGTCATCTCCTCAGCACCCTGGGCACGACCCCTCAGGGATCTCCAGCACTGCTCAGGGACCCCCAGTCCCTCAGGGATCCCAGACTTGGCCCCTTCCATCCCCTCAGGGACCCCGGCATCCTCTTGGGGATCCCAGGCACAGCCCCTCCATCTTCTCCAGACCTTTCCATCCCCTCAGGGACCCCCCAGATATGGCTCCCCATCCCTTCAGTGACCAGGGACCCCCATCCCCTCAGGGACCCACCGTCCCCTCAGGGACCCCCAGACCTGCCTGGGGGTCAGAGAGGGGAGGGAGGAGAAGGGAGGCAAAGCGGGGGGACCCTGCGTTACCCCCCAGGAGCACACAGCGGGGTCACCTCCAGTTTGCCAGGGAAGAGACTCTCGAATTTCTTCTGGAGGCTGAAGGTGAAGGTAAGCCAGCCCATGTTGGAGGCCTCCCGGCCCTGCCAGAAGTAGACAATGCACTGGAAGTCTTCCTCAGGCTGCTTCTCCTCCTCCTCTTCCTCACCCTCCTCCTCCCCTTTGCCTTCACCCTTCTTCTTCTTCTCCTCCTCCTCCTCGTACTCCACGGGCACCCAGTACCTGAAGGCAGAAACAGGGGGTGATGTAAGGGATGGGGCAGGTTGGGGGTCTGGGCAGGGAGATGGAGGGATGAGGGGGTCCAGCAGCCCCGGAGAGGGGACGAGCTGGGTGTCACCTGCAGAGGAAGACATAGCAGTCGTGGGTGTGGAAGTGGCCAAACTCCTCCTCGGGCAGGCGAGAGAATTTCTTGCCCTCCAGCACGAAGCCCTCCATGCCATCCAGGTCCTCGTTCCACTCCTCCATCAGCTGCTCCGCCTGTGGACCCACACACTCTGTCAAGCCAGTGGCCAACCAACCCCCCCCCCGCCCCCCCCCCCACCCCCCCAGGGCCCCGCCATCCCCTCAGGAACCCCCAAAACCACCCCTCAACCCCTCAGGGACCCTTCCATCCCCTCAGGGACCCCCTCAGGGACCCCCAGACCCACCCCTCATCCCCTCAGGAACCCCAGCCGCCCTGGCTGACCTGGCACCAGCCCGCTGGAAGAGCTGGGCCCACTCGCGGGGCTGGAAATCGTGGGCGGTGAAGCGGGGTGCAAAGTCGGCGTAGGTGGTGTCGGGCGGGTACCGGCGCTGCACGAAGCGCTCATAGTCGGTGCGGTGCTCGCCCTGCCAGTGCCACCAGAACCACTCGGAGCCCCAGGCCGGGACGGAGAACACCCCCCAGTGCACGAACACCCCCACCTTGGCCTGGTCGAACCAGGTCGGCAGTGGCCTGGCGTCCAGGCTGGCCCAGTCCGGGTGGTAGCGCGGCGCGGCCAACACCGGCCCCAGCGCCGACCACGCCGCCAGCCACAGCAGCCCGCCCGCCCCC